TGCTCTGCCTCACATAAGAGGCCGTTGTTTGGGAACATTTCATGTGACATTTCCTGTCACCAGGCAGAGTCCCCAAGAGCCCTCCCCTCACAGCCTCCTTAATCCACTTTGTCAGGTTTGGCACAAGTGACTCCATTTTGATTCTAACCGTTTTCACACTTGTAAGACACACACATGTGTATATGCACACATACAGGCACACAGGCATGAATTCACAGCTATACACACACATTTATAGTTACAGAGACACATAAAAGGAGTGACCAATATATATAACTGCCTACATTTTAAAATTTATTACAGTAAATGACACATTGCCATTCCCTTCAGAATATCCTAAACAAACTTTTTCAATCATTCTTGCCACTTTACAAAGCAGCTGTAGAAGTCCTCTTTCGTGAATGTCTTTACGAGGTGTGATCCCAAATACACGGAATGTGCCGAGTGCCGTCCATCAGAAAGGCGGGATTATAAAGTGTAACACTGTGTCCTCATGCAACTTATCCACTGAATCTAGCCCCACGTGAATTCTGGCTCTTCCCCAGAGTCAAAATGACCACAGAAGCTAAATGTTTTGAATTCAGGACACCGAGGAGGCCAGCAAGGCATGGACCAACCACAGACATTTAAGAAAGAGGACTTCTGAGCTGCTTCAGAAAGTGACAAGAATGATGGGCCATGTTCAAAGAAGCAAGGAGAAAACTTTGAGAGGAGTTAATAGTCATGGGTCTTTTGTGGTAATGATTTTTAAAAGATATAAACATTCATGTCTCATACATAGACGCACACAGACTCAGACACACATACAGGAACTCACAAATGCACACAAACACGCATACGTAGATACACACAAGACACGGCCACACACAGACACAGGGAGAGCCCTGTCTCACTCCAGGCCTCACAGATCCCAGAACAGGCCACGCACGGACACCCCCAGAGGCCTGGCCCGGCAGGGTGGAGCAGGTCCTGCTGACACCGTGCTCCTGGCTCACATGGTGAAGACCTGAGTCTTCCTCACTTAGCTGGCGAGGGCAGCCACGGCGCCACCCCCAAGGCTTCTCCTCTCGGCCCTGTCCGTAGTCTTGATTTCTGCTTCGTGGTCCGCTGGGTATGAGCGTTAACAGGGCACTTCTCACTTTCACCCACAGGGGAAGCTTGAGGCTTAGGCCTCCTTCTCCCCATCTTGCAGTGGAGGAAACGGAGGCAGAGAACAATTTCACGGGCTGTCTGGGTCACAGGCTAAGTACCTAGGGGCAGAGCTGGGGTTCCTGTAGTCTTGCCACTTTGCTGTGCTGCTCTTTGCATTTTTATCCTAAAAATTTAACACTGAGAGTTGGCCTAGAAATCAAGGCAATTACATTCATAAATCTCAGAATTTATTTTGAGAGGACTAACTGTGGATTAATGTCTTACTCTGCTCCCTGTGTTCTCTGCTACAGTAGCACAATGGGATTTAAAAAT